CCGTATGGTGAGGGGCGTAACATTTCCGTCACACGCTTGAGGTATTCGGCCAATCACAACGCACTGGGTAGCTGGCCAATCAGAGCACACCTCGCTTTTCAGACCGATGAGCTTTGTAAAAATCAAGAAACAATAATGTACAGTATGTGGAAAATAATCAGGGCTCCAAACAAAAAAAATCGAGTAAGGAGTCATTGGCTCCTATAAGAAAAAATTTTAGGTGACAAATTTAATTTTTTTTAGGTGCCACAGAATAAACACGTTTTATTTTATTTTTTACATTTCAATCATACTTTCATGTGTTTATGTCTCATCTTTTCTTGAATTTATCAGCATTGTAATCGATCTTGTAGATGACCTGGGAACTAAGGTTCACTTAAAGTGGGAACTAAATGTCTTTTCAAACTTGAAATATATAGTCACAAAGAATTGTTCATGACACAGAATCTGTACCAATATCACGGACCATAAGCATCACTTGGCCACTGAGTGTAGTTTGGGCTCCTCCTCAGTGCATCCTATAAGTGTTGTCATGTGTCTTTCACACATTCAGTCTGTTTTTCTAGTAAAATGCAATTTTGTAGGAGGAGTTGAATCATGTAGACAACAGGTTAAGTAAAAATATTAACATCCAATAGTGCATAAATATAGCAAAATGCTCCTCTTTATAGTTATTTTTCTAGCTGACTGATGAGCTTATGGACACCTGATGGTTATTCTGAGGAAAATGTATATTACGTTGCAATGTTTACAAGCTTTACAGGGTTTCGCCGTTTGAAACACTGAATGAGCTTTTACACGAGACATCCCGTGGTAACTAGGATTTACGCAAGCTTCAGTCTGGATCCAGAACACCTGAGAAGAGATTATGCAACTCCTCAGAGGACCTCAGATGATGCCAACCCTGAAACAACTAACAGAACTACCACAAGTTTGATTGCATCATATAATAATTGCTGTTAATATTATTCATCGTCTGTTTTATTACATCTTATATTGATTTTTCCGTACTGCTGGTTCGTCTGGTCAGAGGAGAACTGGCCCCCCGACTGAGCCTGGTTTCTCCCAAGGTTTTTTCTCCATTCTGTCACCGATGGAGTTTTGGTTCCTTGCCGCTGTCGCCTCTGGCTTGCTTAGTTGGGGACACTTCATTTCCAGCGTTATCGTTGACATGATTGCAAAGATATTATTTAAACTGAGCTGGATGTTGACATCACTGAATTCAATGATGAACTGTCTTTAACTGAAAAATGAGTGTTTACTATTGTAATTTTGCATTATTGACACTATTTTCCTAATTAATGCTGTTCAGTTGCTTTGTCACAATCTGTATTGTTAAAAGCGCTATATAAATAAAGGTGACTTGACTTGACTTGACTTTGACTTGTCAAATTGGCAGCTGAGGTTGATTTGACGCTCGTTTCAGGTAATTTCTTTAACGTTGACTGAATGTCCGTCTTGGTGCAGCTGTGATCCGTGCTTCTGAGGGCAGAGATGCCACGTGCAGACTGTGAAGGGTTACAGATGGAAACAAGACTGGATTTGCTTGTATCTGCAGCATGGGACTGGGAAGCTGGCTGAGCTTTGGGCTGGACACTTCGAAGGCGTTGTGAACGAGACCTCTTGAACAGCACAGCTGTTTTCTCAGCATTGTGGAGTTTCCTTGGATTTTGAAGAGAAGCTGTTTTGTTGCTCTGTGTCCTCAAAACACGAAGGCCTTCCCGGCTAGCATTACGGGAATCACTGGACAGCTGTGTTTGGGCTTTGGCTAGCGAACTCATACCAAGTCCTTTTTTTTGAGGATGTGTTTTTATCATCCTCTTTATCAACTTCTTTTATATTTGTGCCACTGACGCCACAATTCTCCTTTCCTTCAGCTGTCTGAGAGAACCAAAGACACATAGGAAGGCCACATGGGAAGTCGTGGCCTAATGGTTAGAGAGTTGGTCTCATAACCCAAAAGGTTGTGGGTTTGAGTCTCGTACCGGCAGGGATTGTAGGTGGGGGGAGTGAATGTACAGCACTCTCTCCCACCTTCAATACCATGACTGAGGTGCCCTTGAGCAAGGCACCGAACCCCCAACTGCTCCCCGGGCGCCGCAGCATAAATGGCTGCCCACTGCTCCGGGTGTGTGTTCACGGTTTGTGTGTTCACTGCTGTGTGTGTGCACTTTGGACGGGATAAATGCAGAGCACTAATTCTGAGTATGGGTCACCATACTTGGCCACATGTCACTTCACTTTTTAGTGCAGACTTTCATCACACTGACTGAATGCTGCAAAGTTTCACGAAATGTATCTAACTTACAGTTTTGGACTTCTGGTTATTTTCAGGACGTTTCTTTGTAACAGGCTTCTCCTTGAGATATGGTCTTTGAGTAAAACAATTAAAAAAAACAATCAATTCAGAACATAAACATGCTAAGGCAGTTCTGAATGCGGAAAATAGGCTATGTATTTTTTATTTTAAAATTGGAAAAAGTATAAATTCAACAGTTGTTACAGACGGAAAGACCCTTCAAGACCACCTACTTTGGATTAGGTGCTTTCAGTCTGCCTTTGGCCGCAAGGTATTCTGCCAATTTCAGTTTGCGTAGCTCTGTAAACCAAAGAGAAGCACGTTTGCAATTTAACATTGCATGCATTTAATAAGTGTCACAACACAAGTGTTGCATTTTGTCTTGTAACTTTCTTCACACATAATAATATATATATATATTTTATATAAATAGCAGTGTAATATGCAGGACAATAATGTAGTCACACAGAAATGAGATTTTTCAATATTTTTTCTGTAGTAAGACAAACATATATATATAGTGATGAAAGCCAAAACATATACACGTCACAGACACAGATGCATATTTACAGAGTAATCCACTATTTTTGTAGAGTGGGGTCAAAATGACGAGATTTGGAGCCAATTTACTGGTGTATAAAAATAACTTCAGAAAGATTGCCGCATCGTTATTTTATTTTTATGCAGAGACTGGGATGTCTTTTAGTCAAATCTGTTGACTTTAGTAATATTTGTTTCATTATATGATAACAGTGACCGCTCAAAAATGGCAAAAAGCACTTCTCGTGTTTTTTTGCCTTAAGTTTGCATGCCTGTAACTCAAGAAGTATTAAAGATATCTTAATACAATTGTAGATTCTGGGTCTGAAGAAACTTTCCTTCTGGTATCTTCACTTTAAAGGCCCTCGAGGGTTCAGTTCCAGAGATGCGGAGCTCTGAATGCGGCTGCATGAGGAATTGGTCAATTGTTCACATATTCAGCGGTCAAAAACCAAACATGGGTCACTTCGCATTTCACCCGACACTTTTTTATTTTAAAGAGCAATATCTGAAGAACAAATAATGTTGAAACTAGAAATGCATCTCATTTGTTTCTCTCAGCTCAATTAAATCGAACACAACTGTCTGTAAATGCCATATATTGTGTTTTTCTCAAGTTTGCATGCCTGTACCTCTGAAAGCATTCATGATATCTTCCTGTCCTTCTAGATTCTCATTCTTAATCAACTTTTCGTTTGGAAATTTCATTTTTAAGGCCCCGTATATTTTATTTGCTAGATATGGGACGTTCACAGCAGCTCCACGTTCAAATTGTTGGCATATAATAAAACAAAGATCACTAAAGTCAACAGACTCTACTAACAGATGTACCAATCTGTGTGAAAATAAAATAATACTGCCATCTTTTTCTCCATTTTTACACCCCTGTTGTAAATTGGCTCCAAATCTTGAAAATTGTCATTTCGTTACATTAGATCGTTTAGATGCGTCTTCATCCGTCACAGTTTCCATCGCTTTATCTGATCACTCACCAAATATTTAATCACAATAAATACAGTGTTTTTTCATAACTTCGCACACGAGTCTATTAGCACACACTACAGCTAACGCAGAAACTGACGCTTGAATTTCGTGGGGACACGCCCACCTCAATTCCCATTGGTTCGTTCAAATCTTTAAACCCCGGCTATTGGTTGGTCAGTTTTGATGATTCATATGATTTGATAATTCGTTAGAAATGCCATTTCGGTATTTTTGTCATATATCATATGGTATTACAAAATTGAATCATGGAATAAAGAAAAACATGTAGATATGTGGACAATCTATGACATTAACCATTTAAAGTCAGATATTCATGTCAGCATTTCAGTGTAAGTTGTTGTGAAGATTATAATACAACAGAATTAATATTATTATTATTTTATTTTAATAACATTCGGGGAGAAAAGTAGCATTGTAATTTTTTGGGTCTCACCATATCGTTTTTTTTTTTATCATTGTAATATTTTCTAACTGATCTCCCTGTTAAGCACGCTGGAAGTGCAGTAGCTGTGCGTGACAGCTAAATAAATCATTTTGATAATGCAAATATTCCTGTCATGATATCAGCGTTGCATCATATTGCATCTGTTCATGTTTCCAGTATTTAAACATGTGGCTAAATTGTGCAACACATGTTTGTACATCCTGCCAAAATACAAATATTTCCTGTGAACATCAGTCAGAATAACTGTTAAAGTACATTAGTAGTATTGTAGTCGGGGCCGTGCTCTTAGAATTAGAGAAGATTGCACGGATCGGGGACATGCTCCACACAGAATTACTTTTAAAGATATTTGCTTTACATGCTCATTTGTAGTTACTTTAAAGTATTTTAAAAAATATTTTTTATTACCTTATATGTCCAAACCTGTAATTTTTCACGCACACACACACACGCACACACACACACACACACAC